TTTCAACTATTGTTAGATTCCACAGCAAAAGTTCCTATGAGGAAAGATTATACAGACTGGATGATCCTTCCAACCCAGGAATTAGCTTGATGAACTTACGTTGTGCTCCCTCTATGATCAGTATATCCTTTCCTGAGGTAAAGAGACCAAAACAGGGCACAATACTCCAAGAGTGACCTCACCAAGGCTCTACATAATTGCAATAAGACAACCTCACTCCGTTACACAAATCCTTCTGTAATAAAGGTCAATATGCCAATTGTCTTCCCAATTGCTTTTGTGCCTGCATGTTAACTTTCAGTGGCTCACAAACAAGAACACCAAAGTTCTCTTGGAACAAGGAACAAAGAACAATCCAGCACAGGAACACGCCCTTTGGCCCACCAAGCCTTCATCAATTCCTAACCCATATTTAGATCCACTATTTATTGCCCATATGCAGTTTCTTTCCCTCTGTTCGCTCCCATTCATGTGCCTATCAAGATATTCCTTAAACATTACTAATGTGTCTGCTTCCACCACCTCCACTGGCAGTGTGTTCCAGATACCCAACAATCTCTGTGTGGAAACTTTTCCCTGTACTTCTCCCCTAAACTTTCCCCCTCTCACCTTGAATCTGTGCCCTCTTGTAGTTGACCTTTCCAGCCTGGGAGTTCAACACTTACCAGCCTCTCACTATTTAAGAAATACTCTCCGTTTCTGTTATGCTACCAAAGTGGACAATCTCATGCTTCTCCACAATGTATTCTATCTGGCAATTTTTTGTCATTTAATTAGCCTCTCCAAATAACTTGGAACTGGTTTTCCAAATCATTGATACAGATTGGAAGCAGCTACTGCCCAAGAAGTGATCTTTGTGGTATTCCACTGGTCCCAGCCTATCAACCTAAAAATGACTTGTCTATTTTTCTGTTTTCTGTCTGTTAACCAGTTCTCAATCCATGCCAGTATATTCCACAAACCTTATGTGCTTTAATCTCTTACATGCCTTATCAAAAGCCTTAAACATGCCACATCCACTGGTTCCCCTTGCCTATTCTGTTAAGTAGCATACACACAAAACTCCAACAGGCTTGTCAAATACCACTCTCGGGCGACTGTCTATGTGGAATTTGCATACTCTCCCCATATCTGTGTGGGTTTCCTCTGGGTGCTCCAGTTTCCTCCACAGTCCAAAGATGTGCAAGTTAGGTGGGTTGGCCATGCTAAATTACCATGCTAAATGTGTAGGTTAGGTGTGTTAGCCATGGGAAATGCAGGGTTACAAGGACAGGGTAGGGGGATGGGTCTGAGGGGGATGCTCTTTGATGGGTCGGTGTGGACTCATTGGGCTGAATGGCCTGTTTCCACACAGTAGGGATTCCATGAAAATATGATTTGCCGTTCATAAATCTAAGGTAGACTCTGTACAATCATACCATTTTTTCTAAGTGTCTGTTATCCCACCCTATTAGATTCTAGCTATAAACTGAAATTGGGCTAATAAGTCTGTAGTTTCCTGTTTTCTCTGTATTTTTTCCCAGGCAAGGAAGAACAAGTGGAATGATTGGTAAGGGAACAGGTGGGCACTCATATGATCTGTTCCACTTGCTCCTTCACCCCCTTCTTTCAAAGCATAAGAACTATTACTTTTCCAACCCTTTTCAGTTCCATATAGAGTCATATTGGACTCAAATCATTAACTCTGTTTCTCTCTCTACAGATGCCTTCAGGTTAAGTTCCTCCAGTACTTTCTGTTTTTATTTCAAGTCTCCAGCATCTGCAGTGTGTAGCTTGTATTACAGAAGTCTTCCTCTGATCCAAAACAAATGTTAGCCACACTTAGAACACTTTCCTTACTGGGTTTTTGGGGCATTAAAGGAATGTATTTTTGTTGTTAATGATGCATTAGTTCTTAAATTGTTCTTTAAATTGCCTATCTACCATTGTACATTTTAACAGTTTCCCAATCTATCATAGCCGATTTGTCCCCAACAGCTTCATAACTTCCTTTCATTAGATGGTAAACCCAAATGTCTGATTAAACTGCATCACTCTCAAGCTTAATTCAGAATATTATCATAGTATGGTCAGTATTCCTAAAGGCTCTTTTACAACAGGTTTAATAATTAGCTCCTTTTCTTAATACTTAGTTGGGGCAGCAGGGTGGCTCAGTGGTTAGCACTGCTGCCTCACAGCGCCAGGGACCCAGGTTCGATTCCACCCTCAGGCGACTGTCTGTGTGGAATTTGCAGATTCTCCCCATGTCTGCGTGGGTTTCCTCCACGTACACATCCAAAGATGTGCAGGTTAGGTGGATTGGCCATGCTAAATCCGTAGTGTTCAGGGATGTGTAGCTTAGGTGGGTTATAGGGGGATGGGTCTGGGTGGGATGCTCCAAAGGCCGGTGTGGACTTGTTGGGCCAAAGGGTCTGTTTCCACACAGTAGGGATTCGATGATAAGATGCTATACAAAGCCCATTTTGTAGATGGTTCAAATAAAGGAGTTCAATACGTGATTCTTGAAGGCTGGACCAAAAACCCCCCGAAATCTGTCAAGCATGGAAAATGTACCATCCCAACCTGGTCTGGCTTACATGTGACTCTTATCCAAAGTAAATGCCTAATTGTCAAAGTTATCTGAAGCTCCAGTGGTAATTAGGAGTGGACAATTATTGCAATTTAATGAGCACTGTCTATATCTCAGGAAAAATGCTAAAATAAAATAGTGAGACAGAAATTGTAAGATTGGTGTTAGTATCAGCATTAAATAGATTGTACACTACAACTCTCGTCTAGGAGTACTATTAACATCACAAAATACTTTATTGCATTCCTAAGAATTGCTTGATGTTAGAAGAGGTTCTTGAAGGAGCGGCCTTTCAGACACCACACTCCATCTGGTAGAAGAAGAATCAGAGGATGCTATCAAAGGAGAGAGAGAGAGAGTAACAGAGAAAGCACTTGAAGGTTCTGCCACCAAACAAAATAAAGAAACATATGAATACCCTAAGTCAACAGAGCAGGGAATGTAATCATACAACTAAGGAGGATCAAGACCATGAATGGATTTGAAAAGAAATGATAAGCATTTTAACTTAGTTCTAAAATGGTCAGCCAAATAGAAGCTTGCAAGTTTAGAGGTGATACGAGAATTAGATTTAGTACAGGAAAAGATAGAGGCAGCAGAGCTTCAGCCAAGGTGGAGTTTGTGGCAAGCACAGCGTTAGAAAAATTGAAGATGGGGAGTGTGAGGAACTGCTGAGGGCTTCAACAACAATAGGAGAAGAGCTGGGGAGGGACACAATGTTGCAGAGATGGAAACAGTAAACCAGGTGATAGAATATGAGCTTGGAAGTTCAGCAGGGCACAAAAGTCATGCGTCATTGGATTCAATCTAAATGTGCAACTGGTGTGAAGTGGAGTCAAGCATGAAGAAATTATGAAAAAGAAAAGGAATTATATCAGATGATATAAGGCTTGCTAATCAATCTTAAATTTATCACATTCATCTTGTATTTATGTTCTTTCAGCACTAGAAATATTCTGTTTCAATCTAAGTACAGGGGTCAGTTAGCTCCGTTTTCTGGACTGCTGGTTTGTGAAGTAGAGTGATGCCAACAGTACGAGCTCAAGTCCCACACTGGCTGAGTTTACCATAAGGCACTCTCCTTCTCAACCTCTCCCCTTGCCTGACGTGTGATGGCCATCAGGCTAAATCACCACCAGTCACCTCTATCTGATGACCTTGAGACAAGAATGATTCTGGGGATAAAGGGCTTTTTAAATAAGGAGCATTTGAGGACTCTGGGTCTGTACTCAACAGAGTTTAGAAGCATGAGGGTGAATCTCATTGAAACTTACAGGATACTGAGAGGCCTGGATAGAGTGGACGTCGTGAAGATGTCTCCACTAGTAGGAAACCAGGATCCATGGACACAGCCTCAGATTGAAGGGTCAACACTTTAGAACTGGGATAAGATCCTTTTGGCAGAGGTATATAGGTTTTTGATTAGTAAAAGGCTCAAGGGTTACAGGGAGAACGCAGGAGAATGGGTTTGAAACACATATTTGCAATGAATGAATGGTGGAGCAGACTCGATAGGTCAAATGGTCTTGTCCTGCTCCAATATCTTACGGTTTTATGGTGAAAGGCATAGATTCAGGATCCAAAAAACAATATTTTAAGTGAGTGCCAAATAGATGGGCAGTTGACAGAACAATGGCAACAATGACACGAGGAGAGGAGGATGAGCAGTAAAGTGGATGTCATTGACATATTCTGAAGCTGATCTAGTACTTGTGACATACAGAGGAAGGAAAATGTGCAATGTATGTTGCCTTTCAAAAGTCAAATCAAATTTTCTTTTGGGAATTGAGACCACAATGATGCACCAAAACTTTAAGAATAATCTGACAGTGATAAGTGCTTTAGTTTGGCTTTCTTATTGTACCTTCTTTCATTTCTGAGCTGAATAATCCTACAACAGGAATGTCCCACTGTGTTTTGAGATCACTGCGTAACTCTCCTTTTAGATAGGCTTCAACATCTTCTATTGATTTCAATAGGACAGGAGTAGGTATTCTGCTCCTAACAAAGAAAAAAATGAACATCAACAACACAGAGCAGGCAATATAGTTGCACATTGCTAAGAACTCTTAAAATGTCTGACTAGCAAAAGATACCCTACACAGTTTAATGGCAAGCAACATGACCAATGTTATTCAAATTCAGCAACTGCAACCAACCATATTTTAATTAAATTCCTGATTCAAGGAAGTTGGTGATTCTTATCTAGTATCTTATTTTTCCAAATAGTCCTTCATTATAAATAAAAGTCTGCTGATTATTTTGTTTGATTCAGCAGTTTCTAAATGGTGTCTTCTCAGCAATGTAATGTACAGACACCCTCTAATGGGCATATTGGGTGCTAGTGGGTCAAACATTCACCAGAATGCAGTTTAGCAATAACAATGCATTTAGGTGATAGATATAGTGCAAGGATATAATGAATTAATACGGAAGTTGGCAAACAGCTTGGTCAAGTTTCAAGAATATATCATTAAGGATGAAGAAGAACTAATAGGGTGGACAGATTCAGGAAGGGCATTTTCCAGAGGTTATGACCTTGATGTCTGAAAGCACAGCCACCAATGCTAGAGTGAGTAAAATAGAGAATGCTCAAAAGGCCACAATTAGATGAATGCAGATTATCTCAGATTGTTGTTGGGTTTGAGGAGGTTTCAGAGATGGAGAGAGATGAGGTCGAGGAGGGATTTGAAAACAGGAATTAAAAAAAATTGAAAGTGGTGTATGCCAGCATATATAGGGCTAATGAATAAACAAGATATTGTTCAAGTTAGGATACAGACAGCAGGTTTTTCTGTGATTTCAAAGTAATGGATGATTAAAAAGGAGGAAAAAAGGCTGGGAGTATACTGGAATTGTCAAGCTCAGAGTCAAAAAGACATGAATGAGGGTTTCATTAAATGAATATTGGTATTAGTTTAAGTATTTAACAGGCATCATTGTTGATAGAATAAAAATTGCAGACAGAGAACCTTACTTTTTGGATGCAGGCTAAAGTTAACCATAAGAGACCTCATTACACAAACTGTCTGTATCTGAACTAACAATGCCAGCCCAAGAACTGAATTTCCAGATGCTGTTACATAACGTTCCAGACGTCCTCTTATGAAGTCTGTGAATCTTGCCAATAAAACAATTTAATCTGCTAATTTCCAGTAATTTCACAGTTTAAGTATAATAGTTTCCAAGGGAAAATTTCAAACTGACATGTCTTGAGTGGTAGTTACAATTCATAGTTACTCAAGTAGCTCTACCGCATCCTTAAAGGGATATGTTTCAGTGACACTATCATTGATATTTGTTTCTAAGGTTATTGCTGCCACACATTACCGTATTGCAGCCACCAGCTGATAATACTTCAAGCTTTGTTATCATATTTTCTTTTTTAATTTTCCGATTCTGCTTAATGGTACTATTGGTGACACCTTCCCTCACAGTGCAATAATTGATCAGGTTGGATTTATCTGCTGTTTGTGTACAAGACAATTAAGTAATTTTTCATATTGCCAGGTAATTGCCAGTGTTGTAGCTGTACTGGAACAGTTTGGTTACAGGCATGGTAAGTTCTGGAGCGCAAATCCTGAGCACCATTGCTGAAATATTGTTGGAGCCCATAAACTTGGCAACGTCCAGTGCTTTCAGCCTTTTCTTGATATCAGTGATATCACTGGATGTGGTGAATTGAATTGGTTGAAGACTGGAGTCTAAGAGGCTGGGGATATACAGAAGACTTCCTTCCCTATTGAACATTAGGGAACTACTTTTTTTTTTTCAATAATTAATAATGTTTCATGGTCATCATTAGACTTTTAATTCCAGATTTTATTGAATTCAAATCCAACCATTAACTATGATCTCTCTGTTTGTCCATGGACCTTGTCAGTAGGCAACAACACAGTTAATTCAACCTTCTTCCATGCATTAAACCACCAATCCCCATTTCTTCACTTCAAGCGTAGCAAAACTTTATGAAAAATGCATATATATGAAGAGGCGTCCAGACCTCTTAGCAACAAGCTGACCCTGAAACAACTTCATAAATGAATCCACAGCCATGTCTCCCCCTTCTTACCAGAAAGATACAAAGCATAAACTAAATTTAAAAGTATTTATTGTTCCTAACACCAGGTGCAGAGTATTAACAGAGGCCACATCGTCTCAGTCACAAAGTCAATCAACCTCAAATTACCTCACCTTAAATAATTCTATAACTTACCACAGGTATGCAACATTGATTAATGAAGTCAAATGTTATAGTTTTTCACAGAAGGCTTCTTAAGAAGGGTCAGTGAACCTGAAGCATTAACTCTGATTTCTCTCCACAGATGCTGCCAGACCTGCAAAGTTTTTCTGGCAATTTCTGTTTTTGTTTTGTTTCCATTTTCACAGAACATGGGTAGAATTGTGAATGCCTACGTAACAGTGAAAATTACAGAATATAATAAAAATACACCTTTAATTAATCATCTTAAATGAGTGGCCTGGAGAATTATGTAAGAATCCTGAGGAAATTTGCCTGAAATATTAATCCTGTTTCTCCATCAAAAGCCTGACTTGCTGCGTATTTCCAGCAATTTCTGTTTCTACTTCAGATTTCCACCATTTACATTACAGTATTTGGCTTTTTTGTTTGAAAATATAACATTTTGTGCTATATACCACCACTTGGCAAAAACATACACCCTTTGACTAATAGCAGGCAATGTTACATGGGATCTATTCACACAGTGTGAGTTGGTAGCACTTTCACCTTTGAATCAGAAGATTGTGGGTTCTAGTCCCACACCGCAGATTTGAACACAGAAACCAAGGCTGACAATTAGGATAGAAACCAAAGATGTGCTGTACTGTCAGACATGCCATCTTTTGGATGAGACATTAAACCAAGATCCCATCTGGCCTCTCAGGTGGGCAAAAAGATCCCAAAACTCTGGTTTTAAAAAGGAACAGGGGAGGAGCCAGTGTCCAAGTCAATAAAGTTCCCTCAATCAATATCACAAAAACAGATTATCTGCTCACTCTCATATTGCTGTTTGTGGGAAATGTGCAAGGTGGCTGACATGTTTCTCAGCGACTACATTTCAAAATTGCTGTAGATGCATTCTAAGTGCAAGATACTTTCATTTTTAGAGGGAAAAAACACTTGCATTGTGTAGTATTTCTCACAACAGATACAGAATGTGTGAATCACACTAAGTTTCATATTCCAAATAGTAACAAATCTTATCTCAGATGTAATCAACAACAAAAAGCAGGAAGAAAATCAGTCATTTTTGTTGAAATGCAGCATGAAACTTTCAAATAACTACAACTGCCTTCTAATTAACCTTAGATGTTTAAGTGCATCTGCAAGTTAGCATTTAGATTTTCCCAACAGGGAAAACTAAAATTCGAAAAGAAAACTTAAGTGGACAGGGCAAATTAAGCATATCTTCATTGTAGCAGCGAGATATTGAAATGTGCTCTGGACCCCAGATTTCCAGTGATCATGCACTAGTCTCTTTCCCTTATCTATTGTAGGTTATAATGGGGACAAGAATGATATCAAAAAGTTGGTCACAGTGGTGCAAGCCGTAAACTTGAATGGCAAAGTGTTAAAATGCTTATATGTAAAAAGCAAAAAAAAAATCTTGATTTTAACTGCTAAGTAGGAACATGGAAAAGATAACGGTGTCCCTGTTCAGGAACTGCTTTTGGCAGGTTTACATGCTTTTAATGGTGAGGCCTCAAAATCATGCCGCTTATCATCTTTTCCATTGAAAAACCTGGCAATCTGGTGGAAGTAGCTAGCTGGCCTTTAACACCACAGGGTGAGAAGCCTGGCATGGGGACCCAGGGAAAGAGGTGCCAGACAAAACTGGGTATATTGGTGAAGTTTAGCAAGAGTGGGGATGTTGGGTAGGAGAGGGAGGAGGGACTGGGTGGTGGAAGTCAAGACTCAAAGCTTCCTAAAAATAAAAGCAAAGTACTGGGAATGCTTCGGATCTGAAATTAAAACCATTAAAAAGTGTTGAAGAAGCTCAGCAAGTCTGGCAGCTTCTGTGTGGAGAGAAACAGAGTAATCTGAAGTTCTGAAGACAGGTTATATTCGATTTGAAACATTATCTCTTTCAGAGGACTAGAGAAGACATTCCTGATCAGAAAACAAATTATGTCTTACAATAACTTCTGGCCTTGGCTCTGCTCCCCAAAGAGCAAGGAAATCATCACTGCTCCTCATATTGCAATTCCAGCTAAAACAGCAGATTGTTTACTTTACATGAGTCTAGTCTACATATCTAAAGTAGGGCCTTAGCATTTTGGGAAGTGTGACCTTGCTACCTGCAATTTGAAACCACACTTGGAAAAATCATTGTGAGGAAAGAGGTGGATAAGACTCTCACTACATTTTGTTTGCTCCTTCTGGTTTTCAGAAGGGCAGGGTTAAAAATCATGGGCCTGAAGTCAATTCAAGATTGTATCATATTTCTATCACTTGGTTGACCTTTTCCTTTGCTCGTTTGTTTATTTAAAAATTCTTCAAGTTCAGATTCACCCTCCCACGCACATTTCTTCTCCAAATGTTTGTGGACAGACCGACTAAAAATGATTAACTTTACAAACAGATGTGAATGGCAAATTCTCTCCAACAAAACCTAGATCAAAAACACATTTCTTATTCACAAACTGCATAAGATACAAAGCATGGCTTATAATACAGAACTGTAAACACTGATAATTTCAGTTGTTAATTCCAAGCCTGACATGCACAAATCGAGGGGTTTGTGCTCCAAAACAATTTTCTTTAACAAGAGATAATATTTCTCCGGCAGTTTCTGTTTTTATGTCAGATTTCCAGTGTCCAGGGAAAAGGCCAGGAGAGGCCTCCTGGATGCCACATTCCCCACCCCCCTGCCAACTTCTCCAACTCTCAACTTCTCCAGCATATCCTCCTTCCTCCCGCGACCAGCCTCATTGATCACCCCCTCCTCGTATTCCTCCTCCCATATCCTCTCAGCCCGCCGCTGAGCCAGTTTCAAACTCACACACTTCTCTGAGTGTGCACAGTGCAGCCTTTGCATATGATATCACATGTAAAGTGTATGCAACGATGTGTTGGGCCTGGAATCGTGTGCATGCAGTTGTAGGTGTCAGCAGATAATGCCGCAACACAAACATTTTGAAGATGTTTATTTTGTTAAATATTCCCCAGCCTAGAGAGAGGAAAGAGCTCATTTCCTCCAAAAGTTATTGTTAATGTCATTAAAATTATCATCCTTTGCTTTAGAATGTTCCTTCCCATCTAAAAATTCAAAATTCCAAGAGATCACCATGTGCCTTGATTATTGAGTGCTATTTGTTCAAAAATGTTTACAATGTTTACAAGCAAAAACTTTGCTCATGGATCTTTCACTTGTGGCACTGCAACAATAATTCCAAGCTTATTGCTCTACCATACCTAACTGCTTAGCAAGAACGTATTTCTTTAGGTTTGGTTCTTACCATTGCCAGTGAATCAGACAGATCGGTGTCAGGTTCATGAAAGCTGTCACTACGTACTGTGCCAATGTATCATCCTCTTACCTACTGACTCAGCCCATAAAGCTAGCTAATTGGAGAAGAGAGTCATCTTTTTATATCAGACTCGAGACAAACCCAATGCTCATCAACTCAGTGGAGATACAGCCAGAGCCATGGGATTACGAGAGGGACCATACATCACAGCTTAAGTAGCAGATTGCTGCTTGGGCAAGTCTGAGGGGTATTTTGCAGTAAAACCCACAGTCCCAGGTTGTGGTACTCTGTTGTATCCTGAATAGTGCTACAATGCAATGGGGACAAAGCACAGAGTTTGCATAGCTAAAGAAAAACATCCCCATTCAGGTAAGGAATATCCTGCAACAATCAGGACAGAGCAGAAGTGGGAGGACAACATTGTACCTTGCTACACCCAAAGCAATTTGCCAGCAGTTAGCTGACTAACAGATCAATCGATAATGGTGCATAAATATCATAGGTAAATCTGGGAGCTCATGACTGTTTGTGCCTAATGTTTGATCAACTCAATCAATGAAGCAAAAGGCTTAAAAAAAGGAAACAAAGTGATTTCTGGAAAACCAAATCAGGTAATTGGAGCCAAATGAAATCATTACCTTTCATGTGGATGGCAAGATGTGCAAGCACAAAGGCAGAATAAAAGAAGTTCCCAAATTGAACAATTCATTACCTGCTGGAATAAGACTCCACAGGTTCACTTTTTCCTTGTCTGAACATCTAATGCTAACTTTGATGGCAGGACCATAAACCATGTCATCAGCACAGCCATTGTAACATAAATCGCTAGTCTACATGGTAGCAGTGAGGTTAAATCTGGTTTACTGCACACATTCAGCAATTTCATGGCAGATGACTGATAAGCTTCATTAGTGTTAGAGGGGTTTACGGCAAGATTGCAATTTCTTTTCAGATCTGTCAACACTCACTATACAATGGTGGAAATTATTCAGCAGTTTGCAGAGAAGTGAAATATTTGAAGACTTATCCTCACCGCAAATTGCTGGATTTTTCTGCTAACTAATAACTGCTATTTTAAGATATATTTAAACCATTTCTGGGCCATCCTTGCCAAAAAAAATTATGACAATATCAATCAGGGATATAGATAGAAAACTTCATGTAAAATGTCCACAGAAAATCGAGTTTACGAAGAAACTACAGGCGCAAAGTATTGTTTTGCAGTAAAATATCAAAAATGAAACTGAGGAGAATATGTATAGAAATGCATTCCTAACAGTGAGGGATAGTAAAACCATCCTGATGGACCTTGCCTCCTTGACAGCTTTACTTACAAACAATATATAAAGGATGACATGTGAACACAGAAGACATCTGATCAAAATTAAGTTAACTGTTAGTTCTTTCGTATTGCATAAGTATTTTAGTGTAACTGGTCTTGGGTTATGGTATGAGATAAGTAAACTAGGCTTATGCCCAAAAACCCATGATAAATACTGCGAACTGATTTTAGAAAGAACTCCATTAGTTCACCAATATTCTTCAGAACAGGATGGAGCCTACATGTGTACCTATGCAAGCACTCTATGGCTGAATTTTAAATAATATCAGGACAATAAATACTGTTTTAACAGAATCATCCACATTCCAAGCAAAAGAAAATAAGAAGATTTAGTTTAGCTTACTTACAGCATAATGAACTTTAATAGACTGTGCGTTCCTAGCATTCCAGTGTAGAGTAAATGTTTATCTCCTTGAATATACATCTTGACAGTCGGAAAACATGTAACATCTTCATTCAAACAAACATCTGGCCAGTCTCCACAGTTAACTCGAGTCAGTACAAGGTCCTTCATATCTATGCAGCAAAAGTTTTAGAAGCACTTTATTGCATTCAATTTAAAATAAAATGAAAACAGTAAGGCTGTATTTATAAGGAAATCCCAACATAAGTGGGCTCTGACGGTTCTACCCTGAAAACAAATGTAGGTCAGGAACGTAGCAACATTTCATATATTGTGATAAATCTTAAATTTGGAACATTTATCGCAAAATAGAGGTTTCTACAATTATAATTTGAATTGTACAGGAGCATGGAGCCTGTAAAATGTCAAAACTGCAGTATCACTAATGCTAATATCCGTTAAAAACACGCATTCAGAGGCATTAATAAAGCCAATGTACTGCTAATGTGACGTGATGTTATAAGTATCACAATGACAAAATATAATAATAAAAGTTAGCAATGGGACGCAAGGTTGCACAGTGTGCACGCATACATTTTATTTGGAGGGAATCTATATAGGTTCATGTTGAAATATAAAAATGATAGAAAAAAAGTTGTTTGTTGGAAGGCAGAATTTTTTTTTCTACAGTATAGGCTGAACTGCTGGGGGATGCAAAACTGAGACATTGCGGGCCTCATCACATTGAGAGGATTAACAAGTCTGCGTCAAATTTTAATAGCTAGTTTCTGCTCAAAAAACAGGAAGACTGGAAAAATTGCCAAAAGTATGACATAAAAATGAGAACAGGAACCAATGTTTTCAGACAGATGCACATACTCACACTGCAAAGTTATGAATCAATACGGAATTTATTATTTACAAATTAACATTTTGATTCAGGAATGTTACCAATTTTTGTTTGCTGTTGTTATTTAGCATTTTCCACAAATTTCATTTTAAGTAGATCCAGAAGGACAATTTATCATAGTGGGAAAAATAAATGGATAAATCAGATTTTAAAACTGTTTAGAAATCTGTAGCTGTTTTCTTCTTTATGAATACACCTTGACAGTCTTAAAATGATCAGTGAGCATGATCTGATTTCTCAAAGCAAAAATGCTCCCAATGTTTTTTATTCACAACGTTATGTGGGCGTCGCTGGCTGGCCAGCATTTCTTGCCCATCTTTAGTTGCCCTTGAGAAGGTGATGGTGAGCTGCCTTCTTGAACCGCTGTAGCCCACATGCTGTAGGTAGACCCACACTGCCCTTATGGAGAGAATTCCAGGATTTTGATCTAGTAAGTGAAGGGACAATGATATATTTCCAAACATTCAGGAATGCGTGTGGCTTAGAGGGGAACTTGCAGATGGTGGCGTTCCCATGTATCTGTTGCCCTTGTCCTTCAAGATGGAAGTGGTCGTGGGTTTGGAAGGTGCTGTCTAAGGATCTTTGGTAAATTTCTGCAGTGCAACTTGTAGATAGTAGACACTGCTGCGACTGAATGTCAGTGGTAGAGGGAATGGATGCTTGTGGATGTAGTGCCAATCAAGTGGGCTGCTTTGTCCTGGATGGTATCAAGCTTCTTGAGTGTTGTCGGTGCTGCACCCATCCAGGCAAGTGGGAAGTATTCCATCACACTCCTGACTTGTGCCTTTTAGATAATGGAAAGGTTGCAGTCAGTCAGGAGGTGAGTCAATACAGCAGAGTCCCTAGCCTCTGACCTGTTCCTGTAACCACTGTATTTAGATGCTACCCAGAAAATTGATGTTAAGAGGACTTAATGGCAAGAACAAATCTCTCTTCCTGGAGGTGGTCATCGCAGGGCATTAGTGTGATTTCATTGAATCCCTATAGGGTGGGAGCAGGCAATTCAGCCTATCGAGTCCACACCAACCCTCCAAGAGCAATCGACCCAGATTCACCCCTCCTACTCTATCCCTGTAACCCTACATTTCCCATAGCTAATCCACCTAGCCTGCACATCCCTGCACACTATAAGCAATTTAGCACGGCCAATCCATCTAACCTGCACATCTCTGGACTGTGGGAGGAAACCAGAGACATGGAGAGAATGTGCAAACTCCACACTGACAGTCGCCCAAGGGTGGAATCGAAACCTGGTTTCGCCCAGGGAGCTTATTTACATTCGAACAGCATGAGCCTGATGCAATTTGAACAGGCAACCTTCTGATTGAATGCTAGTTACCATTGATTAGCTCAAGCTTCAAAATCCGGGTCCTGTTGCATATGGGCATGGATGGCTTCAGTATCTGGGGAGCTGTCAAGAGAGTTGAACACTTCATTTTCATCAATGGACCTGTCCATTTCTGGAGGAAAGGTAACTGATGAAGCAACTCATTGGACCTAAGACACTAACATGAGAATCCATTGCAGCGATACCCTGGGGTGAATGCGTTCTAACAACCACACCATCTTCCTCTGTACTAGGCACAATTCATGCACATTTCACCTTGTTCACACCAAGCTTGAGTTTGTCAAATGCCTCCTTAGTGTGAAGGACAATCACTCTCATTTCACCTCTGATGTTTCACTCTCTTTGCATTGTTTGGACCAAGGCTATTGTGATATCTGGAGCAAATGGTTCCGTCAGAAACCAGTTGAGAATTCGTGAGCAGTATACTAATCATTATGTCTGTACCACTTGATAACACTGTCAATGACACCTTCATCATTTTTCTGATGATTGACAGTAGACAAATGATACACGAAGTGGCTAGATCATATTTATTCTTTTTTTATGAACAGAAAATGCCTGGGCAAGTTTCCATTTGGATGGGCAAGTGCCTGTGTCATTGCTTTACTGGAACAGCTGGGCTAGAGCCCAACCAGTTACGGAACACTAATCTTCAGCACTACAATTTCGATATTGTTGGAACCCACTGCTCTTGTTGTATCCATTGTGCTGAGCTAATTCTTGATTTCACATGAATTGAAACAAATTGACTGAAAATTGGCTTCTGTGATAGAGGAGACAACTACGGGAGGCCACAATGGGTTAACCACTAGTTGAATAGTGTTGCAAATGTTTCAGACTTGTCTATTGCACTAATGTATTGGGCTCCTACCATTATTGAGAATGGAGACATTCAAGGATTCGGTTTTTCCTGCAGACTATTTAATTGTGCACCACCATTCACAACTAGATGTCATAAGATTGCAGAACTTTGATCTTATTAGATGTTTAACTCTACCTAGAAAATGCTTCCACTCTTTAGGGTGAATGTAGTCACGCATTGTAGCTTTACAATGTTGACACTTCATTTTTACATATGCTTCTTTCTTTGCCTTGAATGCTCTTATACCCTCTTCACTGAACTAGTGTGCCCTGTCTTGACCTTGATGGTAGAGTTAGCGATATGGCAGCCACAACATGACATATTGTGTTGATGTACAATTCTGCCGTTTTTGATACCTTACACCACCTTATGAATGTCCACTTATGAACTGTTCTGAATATATTCAATTTAGCACAAAGGTAGTATCACAACCCAGCACTGGGCATTCTCATTGCGAAGATCAGTTGTGATCTTATCAAATGGTGAAGCAGGCTCAGGGGGCCAAATGGTCCCACTCCTGCTCCTAGTTTATATGTTAACATGAGACGTGAAAGGTTCATTTGGAATCACAGGAAATGAGCAACAGGTTAGAGGCATCACACTTATGAGACTATGGAAGCTTTCTCAAGATTCAGCATTTAAAGAATAGCACCCAAGTTGTTTCGAGAATTCCTATAGTCAACCCCGTCCCTGACGTCAACTTTCTCAACAGAAAAAGCATCTATCTCCTGAATATACAGATTGTCTGTGGTAAGTGATCCCACACTACAATACAAAACTTGCTGGAAGCAATTATGATTCATTCATTCATTCATTCTTCAGAATTCAAATTCCCTGAAAAATATTCACATCAGCAGGAGCATGAGGGTCACAAAGCGTACTTAATCCTATTTCCACGGATAATGGTCTAGATCAGCAGCTAGGCAGCACTTTTGCAGTCTTTGCACACTGTACCAGAACAGTCATTCAGAAGATAATGATGGCTTAAAAACTGGTTTCTCTGCCTTCTCTGTTCAGGGAGATCTCCACAGTGTAATCCTGAACCAATAACCTACATTGTAGAAATATGTTCTGCTTCCTTATGAAAAGATGTGGCATTGCATCTTTAGCAGAGATCATCTTTGCAACTTTGAGCAGAAAGTACATGGAGGAGAGAAGTAGGATCATTATGATTTAGAGGATTCCTGAGCAATACTGCAAGAAATATTCGATCAATTTTCTGACTGTATTTGATAATCAGGATATAGTGGGTATGGACATGCAAATTAAAATACCTGTTACGAATGTAATGGAGAATCTAGGATCAATATTATTCAAGCAATTGATTATAACTAGAAAAATCAGGCAACAGTACAAAATGTGTTACGACAAAAAGGACTTCTGAAATCTGACCATTATACATCTTTGTAGCCCATAAATCATAACTTATTAATATTTTGATAATTATTGATAACCTAGCAAGCTTTTCAAACAATGAGGCAATGGAAAAGAGCATCAAAAGTGCAGTTCTAAGTGAAAATCCAAAGTCTGAACAAACACAAAAATAAGCTAGCATGAACACATATATCATTCAATTGTAGTCTTTTTTACATCCAACCGTTAAAAATAGTACATTTAGTAAATTAGTCCATATTGAAAGATTGAAGAGTGGAAGCATGAATTATTCAACTGGATTTCAGAAAATCACCCACTTCTTAGAAGCTCTAAGTTGGCTAACTGAAGCACATTCCTATTGTTGAATCACAATCCCATTATGATCAAACTTAAGTCTTTTGCAGTGGTGAAACATCATTCCCTTTCAGACCATTTTTACATCTTTTATATTCCTTAGAAGTATGTGTTGAACTTTGTGATGGTGAGGTCATAACATCCTGAGAATTGGGTCCCTGATTTCTCTGTAAATCACAGCATACATCAGCTGAAATTATTTCATACCCTGCACCAAATACCAAAGATTTCTTATGTCACCACCATATAAAACAGGGAAGGATTTTTAACTCCTGGGTACAAATATGAGTAATAATATTAATAATCCATATGAAGTGCCCCCATTCAAATCTGGCAGAACAGAAGGTTGAACAGAAGACCACCAGGTCTAGACTTGAGGAAACATTCCCAACATATGGTAAGAAGTCAAGAGGAGGTGACTAAGAGTAAGTGTAATTATGGAAAGGCTTTGGAAATCTAGGAAACACCCAAAGTTTCCTTCTGATGCATGGAGGAGCACCTGTTTCTTCTGATCCACAAACAAATTATTTTCTTTAATAAAAATTTCAAACAACCTATGTAGCAAGAATCTTGTTTTTATTATTTTAAGGATCGCAACCATTTCTCCTCGAAACCTACAGTTCTCCAGAGGCAAATGTCCAGGCTTTCACAGAGCTCTTAAACCAGTTATCAATCAAGTGGTTCACCTCAGAAACTTAATATCCCCATTGTGTGAGGCCACTGTACTCTAGCTGCAGCCAGACACAGCTTCATACAAGGTAATTACTGCATTATAATTAAATGTCTCAACTATACATAGTAACAGCACACTAGTTTACACAGCAGCCTTGCAGCATTTGCAGTAGAACTTCAATGGTCTAACTCCCAGGTTCTCTGCAAAGGAGTACTGAGCGTGCAACCTTGTACCATGGTATATAAATGTTTGGAATTGCCTGTGCCCAAATGATAATTTAAAAAGCAATAGGGAGGCGGCAGGGGGGGGGGAGGTGAGATATGAAGGTAAGCTGGCTAATAATATAACAGAATATTGCAAGAGTTTTTTAAGATATCTAAAAGGTAAGAGAGAGGTAAGAGTGTATATTGGACCACTAGAACATGAGGCTGCAAAAGTTGTAATGCGAAACCAGGAAATGGTAGAGGAACTGAATAGGTACTTTGCATCAGTTTTCACAGACACCAGCAGCATACCAGAACTTCAAGACAGTCAAGGGGCAGAGGTGACTCTGGTGGCCATCACGAAGGTCCAGGTGCTGGGGAAGCTGAAAAGTCTGAAGATGGATAAATCACTCAGACCAAATGGAACACACCCCAGAGTTCTGAAGGAGACAGCTGAGGAGATTGTTGAGGCATTGGTGGTGATCCTTCAGGAATCAGTGGAGTAGTCGGTGGGGGTGGGTTGCAGGGGGCGGTGTTCCACAGGACTGGAAAATGACTAATCTAACACCCTTAGGGAGGGAGGGAGGCAGAAGACAGGAAACTATCACCCAGTTTGACAGACCTTTGTCATTGGCAAGGTTTGAGAGTCCATTATTAAGGATGAGATTTCAAAGTACTTCAAAGTTCATGGTAAAACAATGCTGAGTCAGCATAGCTTCGTCAACAGGAAGGTCATGTCTGATAAATCAGTTAGAATTCTTTGAGGAGGTAACAAGCAAGTTAGATAAGGGAGAGCCAGTGGACACGATCTACTTAGATTTCCAGAAGTGCTGCACAGGAGGTTAAATAAAATAAGAAGCCACAGTGTAAGGTGCAAGGTACTGACATGGATAGAGGATTAGCTGACTGGTTAAGGGAAGAGAGTAGTGATAAAAGGGTCTTTTTCAGGATGGCAGCCAGTGACTAGTGGAGTTCTGCAGGGGTTAATGTTTGGACCACAGGTATTCACATTATACATTAACTATCTGAATGAAGGAACTGAGGGTATTGTTTCTAAGTTTGCAGATGACACAAAGTTAGGTGGAAGGACAGTTAGTGTTGAGGAAATGTGGAGGATGCAGAAGGACTTGGACTGTATAGAATAGATAGAATTCAATATGGAAAAGTGTGAGGTTATGCACTTTGGTAAGAAGAATAGAGACATGGACTATTTTCTAAACAAAAAAAATGGCTTCGGAAATCTGAAGCACAAAAGGAGTCCTATTCAGGATTCTTCTAAGGTTTACATGGAGGTCCAGTTGGCAGTTAGGAAGGCAAATACAATGTAGAATTTATTTCAAGGGGGCTAGAATACATGAGCAGAGATGTACTGCTGAGGCTGTATAAGGCTCTGGTCAGAGTGCTCCTGGAATACTGTGAGCAGTTTTGGGCCCCATATGTAAGAAAGGATGTGCTGGTATTGGAGGTGGTCTGGAGAAGATTTACAAGAATGATCCTGAGAGGAAGGGTTTGACATAAGAGGAGTAGTTGAAGAGTCTGTGTCGGAGTTTAAAAGGACGAGAGGGTATCTCACTGAAACCTCCAGAATACTGTGACACCTGGATAGAGTAGATGTGGAGAAGATGTTTCCAGTTGTAGGAAAGACTAAGACCCAAAGATACAGCTTGAGTGAAGGCATGACCCTGGCACATACTAAAATAACATCCCAACCCTTCCTATTTAAGCTTACTCATGTTGCTTACCATCTTTTTTTAAAGCGAACAACCTTATAATCTGTTTATAATCTAGCTTTGCATTTTCAAACTGAATTTTATATTATGACTTATTACAAATAATTCTGTATAGTTTTCAAATGCCTTATTTGCCTTCGCGAGCAGTTTTTGTGCTAGTAAGCAATCACTGAAAATGTTTACAAATATTTTGGCTTTCCTGTCTCAGCTGCTATAAGACTGTTTTGTGGCTATTTAGTCAGGGAAGTTCTGCTATAACACTTGTTTTGTTAATGGAAATTGGCTGAAACACAATTGATGAACAGTGGACTCTTCGGATAACGCGAACAGGTATAGCAATTTCCTATAATGCGATTTTCTATAGCACGAGATCATGCAAGAGCACAACTGTTGTGTTATAGGAGAACTACCTGTAGAAAAGTGAAGATACAATGGTTTCATGCTGATATCACAGAAACTTTTTATACCCAATGCGGGATTATGGTAATCTCAGCCATTTCACTACATAAATGGCTACCATATGTACAATTATTTTTGACTCTGTCCTTCCAAAAGGTGACCAATTTGCCTCAGCCTGACAGTACAAGAGCCTACTCTACAATAAATCAGTCCAAATGAAGGGAATAAAAATACAGGGCTAAAGAACAATATGTGGGGAGTAGAACTAACCAAATTGCTCTTGCAGGGAGCTGGCCAGGATCCCAAGAGTGTATAAGACCAGAAGAGTCTGCCCCAACAGTCAATCACTATTGATATATTTCTCAATCCCATTCTCCTGCCCTCTCCCTTGATCCCCTTACTAATCAGGAACCTATCTACCTCTGTCTTAAACACACTCAGTGATTTGGCTTCCACAGCCTTCTGTGGCAATGAGTTCCACAGATTAACCACCCTCTGGCTGAAAAAATTCCACCTCATCTCAGTTCTAAGGGGTTGTTCCTTCACTCAGAGGCTGTGCCCTCATGTTGTAGTCTCTCTTAATAGTGGAAACATCTTCTCCACATCCACTCTATCCAGGCCTCTCAGTATTCTGTAATTTTCAATGAGATCCCCACTTCATTCTACTAAACTCTACTGAGTACAGATCCAGAGTCCTCAACCATTCCTTGTATGACAAAAAAAAACAAAAAAGTGCCGGAAATCACAGATGCTGCCTGACCCGCTGTGAAGACAGAGCAAGCTAATGTTTCAAGTCTCAACAACTCTTTATCAGAGCCAACACGAGCTCTTCATGTCAGCTCTGATTAAAAGTCGTCTAGACTCAAAATGGTAACTTGCTCTCGCTGCCTGACACGTTGTGATTTCCAACATATTTTGTTTTCAGTACAGATTCCAGCATCTGTCATAATTTGCTCCTACCTTGTATGACATTCCCTTCATTCCAGGACAATTCTTGTAAAGTTCTTCTGGGCCCTCTCCAACGCTAGGACATACTTCCTTAGATAAGGGGCACCAAACTGCTCACAATAGTCCAAACGCAGTCTGACCAGAGCCTTATACAGATTTAGCAGTACATCCCTGCTCTTGTATTTGAGCCCTGTTCAAATGAATGCTAACATTGCATTTGCCTTCCTCATTGCCAACTGAAACTGCACGTTAACCTTAAGAGGTTCCTGAAGTAGGACTCTCAAGTTCCTTTGTGCATCAAATCTCTGAAGCTTTTCCCCATTTAGCCTCTATTCTTCCTCCAACGTGCAGAACCTCACACTTTTCCACACTGCATTCCATTTGCCACTTCTTTGCCCACATGCCTACCCTGTTCAAGTCCTCCTGTAGCCTCCCCAGCTCCTCTACACTACCTGTCCCTCCACAGCACTGAACTTAGATACCATTCTATGATTCAATACTATTCTACATCTCATCAGCACAACAGAGCAATACTGAGCAGCAAGGAGAATGAAAAAGGACAGTTAACTATAATGCAAATGCTTTAAAATCAACAGAAAAGTAGATGTTTGAAACCTTAAAATTAGCACAAGTAACAGACAGTGTGAGGATTCCATACAAGACATGCATAGCAGACAACTGTTGAAATTAGTTATCAAATAAAGATAATTATATCACAAATTACCTGCAAGTCTGGTTGATACTTCTGCATAAGACTGCATAAATGCCATGGACACAGCATCCCCTAAAAGATCAACAATAAAAAAAAAATTAACACTGCAAAAGCCCTGCACACTAGACTACCATATATATTCAAACGAAGATCTAGGTACTCAGGTTTCTCATGCAAACTCTGTCCTTACTCCTTTTATAAACTTTCCAATCAAATCATCTTATATTAAATCAATCAATCAAGTGTGCTGCTGAGATACCCGAGGAGCCACAAAGGAATGAAGACCCTGATGGGATTTGTACACGGGCCTCCTTGCTGTAGTCAGGATATGGGGAAGAAAACAAGTCCGGAGATAGAAAAGGCATGTAAAGAAACACACTATTACAATAATCATGGGAGATTTCAAAATGCAGGTGCACTGGGAAAATCAGATTGGGAGCAAATTTCAAGAAAAGGAATTTGTGGAATGTCTACGTGACTTTTTTTTGGAGCAACCTGTGGTACAGCCCACCAGGGAACAGGCAGTTCTGCATTTCATAATGTGTAATCTGTAACCAGATGTAACAGGATAACAGTTGAGTAAAGGTAATTACAAAGATACGAGGGAGGACCTGGCCAGAGCTGATTAGAAGAGGAGCCTAACAGGAAACAGCAATGCCGGGGGTTTCTGGAGGTAATTCAGGAGACACAGCAGAAACTCATCCCAAGGAAGAAGAAACATACTAAGGAATGGGCGAGGCAATTGTGGATGATGAGGGAATAAAAGAAAAAGTAAAATTATACAATGTGGTGAAGATTAGTGGGAAGCCAGAGGTTTGGGGGGTCTTAAAAAACCAAAGGATAAATAGAAAAGCAATAAAGGGGGGAGAAGCTAAAATATGATAGTGAGCTAGCTATTAATATAAAAGAAGATTGCAAGAGTTTTTTTTTAGACATCTAAAATGTAAGAGAGAGGCAAGAGTGGACATTGGTCCACTGGAAAATGAGCCTGGAGAATTAGCAATGGGGAACAAAAAAAAGGCAGAGGAATTGAACAGGTACTTTGCATCAGTTTTCACAATGGAAGACACCAAAAGCATACCAAAACTTCAAAAGATTCAGGGATCAGAGATGAGTGCAGTGGTCATCACTAAGGAAAAGGTGTAGGGTAAGCTGAAAGGTCTAAAGATGAATAAATCACCCAGATCAAATGGCCTATACTCCAGAGTTGTGAAGGAGACAGCTGAGGAGATTGTGGAGGCAATGGTGGTGATCTTCTGGAAGTCACGAGAATCAGGGAGATCCCAGAGGACTGGAAAATGGCTAATGTAACACCGCCGTTTAAGAAGAGAGGGAAGCAGAAGACAGGAAACTGCCAGTTAGCCCGACCCTAGTGTTTGATAAAAATATTATTAAGAGTAAGATAGTCAAGCAGCTGGAAGTGCATGGTAAAATTTTGCTGAGTCAGCACAGTTTTTGTCACGGGGAGGTCATGTCTAACAAATATGTTAGAATTCTTTGAGGAGGTAATGAGCAAGTTAGACAAAGGAGAAGCAGTGGATGTGATCTATTTGGATTTCTAGGAGGCTTTTAACAAAGTGATGCACAGGAGGCGGCTAGATAAGAGATAAGTGTTACAGGCACCAGCATGCATAGAGGATTGGCTGACTGGCAGAAGACTGGGGATAAAGGGGTCTTTCTCTGGATGGCAGCTGGTGACTAGTGGAGATTCTCAGGGGTCAGTGTTAATGACCTGGACAAAGGAACTGAGGGTATTTTTGTTAAGTTTGCAGACAAAGATGACACAAAGATAGATGGACGGACAAGTAATGTTGAGGAAGCAAGGAGACTACAGAAGGACTTGGATGGGCTAGGCAAGTGGGCAAAGAAGTGGCAGATGAAATACAATATGGGAAAGTGTGATGTTATGCACTTTGGGCAGAAGAAAAAAGACGCACAGACTATTTTCGAAATGGGGAAAAGCTTTTGAATTAAGTTGACGAGGAATTTCTTCAGCCAGAGGGTGGCGAATCTGTGGAACTCATTGCCACAGAAGGCTTTGGAAGCCAAGTCATTGAATGCATTTAAGACAGCAATAAATAGCTTTTTGATTAAAAAGGGGATCAAGTGTTACAGGGAGAAGGCCAGGAGAATGAAATTGAGAAATATATCAGACATGATTGGATGGCAGAGGAGACTTGATGGACCGAATAGCCTAATTCTGCTTGGATATCCTATGAACTTATGGTCTAAATCACCAAGATTTAGTGGCCACAAGCATTTTAATTTAGTAAAAAGAAAAATGATGACAGATTATAGTATATTACCATTTGGGAATTTGGATTCGAAAGTACAGGCAAATGGGTTTTGATTTTAGTTATTTGCTCTTTAGTTTGTTAAAAGGACTTGGGGGGAAAATAAAGGTGAAAGCCATTTATTGAACAGGGAGTTCAAACCAGCCTTAACAAGAAAGCAACAAAAACAAAGTTGCTGGAAAAGTTCAGCAAGTCTGGCAGCATCTGTGAAGGAGAAAACAG